CTCGAAAATTGTCCAAATTTAAACGTGTGTAATGACAATGAAAAGAATTTTCTTTTTTTTTCTCGCAACTAGATCCACTGTCAAGATTGAAGATTGAAGTCTTCCCTGCACAACGACCTCTTGAAACTTGTTGTACGATTTTTTTCTTTTAATATCTTATCAAACGACAGGATTGAAAATATCCTGACATTTAATAAAACATCGTACAGCGAATTTTAACAGTTGTAAATGAGTCATGAAAAGAATTTTCGACAAAATGTATCGTCGTTTTCATCTTTGAAAAAAATGGACTCACGACTGTCAGAGTAGAAGTTTCGCGTTTTCAAGATTAAGGACAAGCGGATCGTTAGATGATTTTTTTTTTTTTTTTACAAAGTTATACCGGTTGAAATTATCGACAATGTTTCATTGTCATACTCTTTACAATTCCGGGATCCGCGACGAACTTGGGAATCGCTTTGACAAAGTCACGAACCAACGAAGGGAATTTACAAAAATCGACGAAAAGAGTTAACATAAGAATTCTGCTATTCTGACGAAGGAAGAAATATATTCAACGGCTTCGCCAGCTCATTGTTGCTACGAAACTCTATAACAGACTTGAACCAGTCGGCCAATTCTTTCTCTCGCTTTCCAAAGAAAAGAAGAAGAAGAAGGGAGAAGGAAACCCAGTGTCGAACGGGCGAGCGATTCGAGGCAGACGGGCTTCAGCACGGCGACAAACTTTTTCTTTCGAGTCGTTCGATGATAAAAAAAAAAAAAAAAAAAAGAAGGAAAGAAAAAAAAATGTTGGAGAGGAGGTAGGTAGTAATGGGGCGAGGGAAAAGAGAAGAATGGGGCTAAACGCTGGAGCACGTTCCCTTCCTCATTAATGCCAACGGCGCATTCTGCCGCGGGCTAACCTTTGGAATTGATTAAGATCTCCCTGGGATGGTACGCGGTATTATCTTCCAAACTATTTCCAGTAAATACTCGGTTTTATTTCAAGTCCTTCGATACCATCCGGTTACACGGCATAAAGGAGCAGTGTCTTTATATTTTTAACGAAATACCCTGCGAACGTGAGAATTGGAAACAGCAAGATAGTTTATTAGATTGGCCAAAAAGTAACTGAGTTTTTTTTTTTTGTGTGTGTGAAAATTTCACCAGACAATATATTGCCCGTTTTTGTTCGATTACCTTTTGCCATCTCTCAGGCGTGTTTAAAAAAAATTCTCATCTTTTTCAGCAAGAGACAGTGAAATTTCGCAAATCAAATCGATTCTTCGTCGGATAATTTTTTACGAACTTGTACAGCTCTTGTCTCTTTCCTTTCCGGAAGTAGTACAGCCAACTATGACGAAAGTGTTTCCTTTCTGATTTTCCATCTTGAAATCGATGCCAAGCAAACAATTGTTAACGAGATCGTCTTTTTCTAAAACAAGATTGAACAATCACGCTGCACATTACATGATAAATCTCCGGTTTAAAATGAAGTTAGTTGCATCTTAAGTGTAGGAACGATGATCGATAATAAATAAAGTCACCGTACTACAAAGGAAAA